CAGCCTTCTCTAGGCCCTCTGACCCTGCGCCGTCGGGCCATGCTCCCGCAGAGCGTTGGTAGTTAAGTGGCATAATCCGCGCCTTCCAAGCACGTGTCCCGGGTTCGATTCCCGGCTAACGCAGCTTTTTGCCCCCCCCCCTTTTTTGCTCTTTTTTTGTGCAGAGGTGGTGGTGGTGGTGAGAGGTAGTGGCATTGTCAGCAATACGGCGTAAAGTTGAACCACTGCATCTCGGCGGTGAACGGGCCGCTGTTCCAGTCGACCGTGCCCGCCCAGCCGCCGGTCTGGCTGCCGTCCCAGATCCCCATTTTTGCGCGCGTGGCGTCGGAGGGGAAGCCCTGCGAGCCCTTCATGAGGGACCGGATGAGCCTGCCGTCGAGGTACCACTGGACGCGGTCCTCGAGCAGCTCAATGGCGTAGTTCTGGAAGGTCGTGCTGAGGTCCTGGCTCGGCTGCTGGCTCACGCCAAAGACCTGGGGCAGGGGGTCGACGCGGTGGGCCTGGACGTAGTACATGGTCTGCACGTGGGTCAGGTCCTTGCCGACCCACTCAAAGTCGATCTCGTCGGCGGGCGGCGTGCCCAGCAGGATAAAGGCGGTGACGACGCCGCTTCCGGCGCCGATGCGGATCCGGGCCTCGACGCGGCCGTAATGAAAGTCCCACGGGTAGACCATTGTTGTTCCGCACTCTGGGGTGAGCTTCCACACGACCGAGTTTTGCGACTGGTAGGCGTTCTGCGGGCACCACACGACGCTAAACTTGCTCATCGCGTCTGCGCGCGAAAAGTCCACAAAGCTGCTCTGGCAAGTGTACGCCTTGCCGTCTGGTTCTGGCCCAAATGGCACCTGCGCGACGGGGTTGGCGCCGGGGTCGGGCGCGGTGGGGGCAGAGGTGGTGGTGGGCTTGGCCGCTGTGGTGGTGGTGGTGGCAGCAGCGGTGGTGGTGGTGGTGGTGGCAGATGTGGCAGCCGTCGTGGCTGGCGGCGTCTGCGCGCTGCTGCCGCCGCCGCCGCCGGACGCGGCCAGGTTGCCGAGGTTGACCGGCCCGCTTCCCGCCGGTATCAGCACCTGCAGGCCGTCGGACGGCGCGCCGCGCGCAGGGAGCCGGTGCTGCCGCTGGCCGCGCCATGCCGGCGCCCGCAGCCGGGAGAGCACGCGCTCGCTGGGGGTGTAGGGCTCGCCGTACACGTCCCGGCCGAAAAGAACGTCCCGCAGACAGACGCCGGCCGGTTGGCCAGCAGCCGCCGCCGCCGCCGCCGCGCCGAGCACGGCCAGCCAAACACAACAACAAGAGACCAATGCGCGCGCCATTTGGTTGCCTGGCGAGCCAGAAAGGCCGGTCCGCGCGCACTCAGGCACACACTCCCCTGCCCCCTGGGAGCGGGCGAGGCGGGGCAATCCAATCAGCGGTGATCTGCGGCCAAAGGCGCGGGATCACTTATCGGCAGTGGGCGGGCGCCCCTTTGCTCCTCTTTGATTTCTTCATTGCGGCCAAAGGTGGGTTTGGGCGAGATTCTCGGGCGGGCGGGCGGGCGAG